GATGATGATGATGATGATGATGATGATGATGATGATGATGATGATGATGATGATGATGGCAGTAGTAGTAGTAGTAGTAGTAGTAGTAGTAGTAGTAGTAGTAGTAGTAGTAGTAGTAGTATTGGTGGTGGTGGTGGCGGCAGCAGCAGCAGCGGCGGCGGCGGCAGTGATAGCACCGTCTTCGTTGTCATAACCATGGGTACCGCCACGTGGTCTGGCATTATACCCCACATCCTATTTCAACCCTTGCGAATGCTCTTCTCGCCCTTATTTGCCTCTCATTTAATTTCATGAAATTCCATTTAATGCACCGAGCAGCAATAGCAAGATCTGTGCAGTGCTTTGCTTGGGGGAAATAGGCATGACTTTCGCTACCTTTAAAACACAACTTTCGTTTGTGAAGAAATTCTTTTAAACCGGAGGCAAATGAACAGCATTTTGCAAGTAACAAAAGATATGGTTCGTAGATTAAGTGTGCAGTGATTATTTTTGATTTTGCAGACTACTACAAATAGGGTATTGACACATTCACAAAAAACTTCCCTCGAAACTTTGACAACTTTGTTGCCTGAGTCGAATGGATGTCGCAATTCTAGTAACTCTCAATGGGTAGTAGAAGGTTATGAAATAAAAAAGGCAAATCCAGAGGCTGTGTCTGCATTACCCAGTACAATGGGAAACTTGTTCAAAGCTTTCGTTGCAATGTCTTGTATTTGTTTATCCTAATTCGACAGGAGTGTATGTGGATTCGGGGTGCTATCTCGTGAGAATTAAACGATTTCTGGCTCAAAAATACTGACGGCCGGGATTACTTACTCCGGGAAGCAAATGTGCTACAAGAAAATAACCAGCGGTATTTTTTATACGCGCCAGAGAAAGGAATAAAAAAATCTCGCGGTGTCTGTTGTATGAGAGTAATCAAGATGATTTAAGGTAGTCATCAAAGTTAAAATACGACAATGCAATAACTTTTTGACAGTGTCTGAAAAGGCGGCTTAACCTAATTTACTATTGCCGTTAAATGGTAAAAAAAGGGCCACCTTTTTATTGGTGACAAAATGGATGATTAAAATCTGTGATACCACAAAGTCCTCGGATGTTCTGCTCTTTTGCTTAACACAGATGCTTCCGTAGTAAGTAACCCTGGCCAAAAACCACACCATTGCCGAGTACTTGTATCTGGTCAAAAGTTTTGGGCTAAATAAAATAAAGGATTTTCCAATGGCATTATCTCTGCGTTTTAAGACAACCGATCCTTTCAAATCGGAATGTTTGAAGAAGAAGAAGAAGAAGAAGAAGAAGAAGAAGAAGAAGAAAAGGAAGAAGAAGAAAAAGAAAAAGAAGAAAACGTTTCCGTAGTTCCGAAAAGTATCTTTTGTCACATCTTTCCCGACTCAATTTAAGCGGAGTAACCGTCAACTTTGAGATGTGACAGAGGTTGCTTATGATCATGTTCGCATTTAAGCAGTTGGGGTTTGCTGGTCCAGAAAGCTATCTTGATACAAACTGGAGTTGGTTTCCGTCTAAAATGCACAAACTGCCTTCGCCAAATGACTAAAGAGCAGTTTTTTGCGTAAAAATATCTTTAAGTCAACTCCTAAACAAGTTATTAAAACGAAACACTCCTAGGTACAGAGGAATGATCAGTTGGATTTCGGTGACCTTGCTTAATCATTTTGGGACACACTGAACATGATGAACCAAGGCACAGGGGGACTGTCCTGCATGCCACGTGTTGCCGAAATGCGTGAAGTCTTCTCGCAATACAGATTGGCAGAATCTTCATGCTGAGTGTAAGCTGCACGGCTGACCATTCGCCAGTGTGCCACTGGGGCGGATTACAAAGTTGTACCTATGCTAACCGCTCATTCTTATTGTCAACTCTGACTACTTACATTCATACACTCCCTTTTCCGTGCACCCATGAAGTTAGCAATAACTATTCATTTGCTTCTTCATATTCTTGCTAACGCCAGGGCCTGTTCAAAAGGCGAAGGAAACTCGACGTCGCACACTGGAGGGACGGGTGTTATTGGTAAGCAATTTTAATTTTCACTCACAAAGCTCCGGCTAGTTTAAGCAGCTCGCATTTTGAGCCTGTACTGTCAACCATTTGAAATGAGTATTTCGCAATGCTATTTATGGCATGCAGTAGAATATTCATGCACATTTGAGCCTTATTTGTTTGTAACAAAATAAATTTTGCTTTCGAGTCAGCTATTCAGTTAAAGGGAAACGCCGAATGATTAAGTCCGATGTAATCTACGTAACTCCTGGATTTTAGCGTATTTCACGCATTCCAAAATTACCGAGACGCTTTACCTGTTAGCCAACTCAAGGCAGGCATCCATCCATTGTGCCGGCCAGAAATTTTTCGGTTCGTAAATCAACGCTTATTCAGTCCCCTTGATGGTTGAACGTTATTCCGACTATCTGAAAACGCGGGGACATGAACGGAAACCATTATTTTTCCCAAAAACATATAAGAATTGCCTGTCCTTTTCATCTGCATTTTTATGTTGGCTCGTCCGTCCGGTTCTGGTTTTTGGGAATTACAAATAGTTTCCGAATTTCGTTTTGCATCAATTGGACTGACATATCCGTGGATCATTCGCTATGATAATGTTTTGCGCGACAAGTGTTTTCACCATTGAAGATAAGTCCACAAACCGCAATCCATAAAAGAGTGACTTAAGATGCATTCGTCTAGACGGAGGCCCAAATGTGTAGAAACCCCCCCCCCCCACCAGTCGCAGTGTCGATCTAAATGAACTCAGAATTTAATATTTACCGCATAAATAGAGGTGGCGCATAATGAAGAATTGAATACTTTCCGCGTTATGTGCATAGGAGAGTCTCTTAAGGGCAACATATGCAGGTCGGACCCGAAAACAATCTGTGATATTATAAATGAGTGCCTCCTTGAAAGCAGTTTGTCTAACACGATAGGTGGGGATAGACCAGATAATGTTATAGGCGTAAGGATTGCCTTAAAATACGTTATTCGAGAGTGAGGAGCGAACATTTAGGTAACATACAACTTCCAACATTCTCGAAAATAATCCTAGCATAGAGTATGAGAAAGCTTTGGAGCCGTTCTAACGGAAGTCCGTGTTTTTATAATTCTTCGCTACCAAGTTCATTTAGTCAGACCTAAGTTACCCATTGGTCTACACTTGTTAAGCGTCTTGACCATGCAAGTGGTAATCACCTCTATTACGAAAATCGTCATTTATCTTTGGTCAAAGCCCCACACAGTTCCATTTTTAAACTATTTTCAACGACATCTTGCCCATAATGACTATGCCCCCCCCCAATTATCCAACTGTATATTGTTGCTTTGTGTAAACATTTTTGATAAAAAAACTGCAAGTGTGACATATGGGAGTTGACACATGCATCTATGAGAATCCAAGGCATTTGAGCAGTTTGTTTCCTTGCCCTCGGTAGTACTTTCTTGCAAATTTTCTCACATATATCCCCGCACACTTTGCGTGGTTTATTACCTTTGGACCACTACACATTATCCAGTTGAATATGCATTTCGAACTCATCAAAGTGGTTTGGGAGGTTTTTATGTTTCCCAGTAAAACTGCCACACATAAGCCCCCTTGTCTGTTCAATCAAATACTGAATTTGGAATTTATAACATGAGAAGAAGCTATCTGAATGTCGTCTTCCAGATAGGCATTTGAAGAAGTCAGGCCCTATCCCTGGTGCACAAGGCTGTCTTAGGGATCTCTCCTTGCCAGGAGCTAAACAGAGCCAAGTAGAAGGAACCTAACCATCGGGAAATATTTTTTGCTTAAAACGCTCGATTTCGAAACCACCGACTTTAAATTACTCAGACGTCTAACACCCCACGTGTTCGTTGTTGGGTGAGAATCATGAACACTCAAACCATTCCAAGTTTCTTTTGATCGAGAACATTCTGAAGTTTCACTGTCTAGAATCTAAATCTGAAAGTCAGTCTGCAAAACAGATCGAAAACTGGGTTATTTTAAATAAGTCACTGTTAACTGCTGTTGAACTGTACACCGCCAAATTTCCCATTTTCTTTCCTTTCTTCTTATTCCCATGTCAGGCCCAACATTAGTTGTGCGGACTAAAGCAGCCGCTGAAATGAGGTGTTTATAACTTACCTCCTAGACGAACATTTTGAGTTCACTTTACCGTCAACTGCTCGATGATAATTCGTCGACAAAACGTTCAGCAACTTGAGGAGAAGGAAATTCAATCGACGGAACACGGATATTATTTGACTGACATTTCGGATTCTCACTCAAACCTGCCATCAGAGACGGTTACAAAGGCTGCATCACATGTGTGTCGATCGCTTTTACCTGCAGCTGCCTGCGCTGATGGGTTGGAGTAAGAATCCGAAACGTCAGCAAATATAATTCGTGTTCAAATTGTCGCACCTCCCTCTCACTTGCTTTCTCAAATTTGCCTTTCCAGTTCTATCGACACAGCGACTTCTTTACAAAATGTTTTCTGAAAATTGACTATCGTTGCATAGGTTTTTCCAACCCTGGACCTAATATTCCTCACCCGGTTGTCGGAGGACGATGGTTGACGAAGGAGCCGTCGAGAGACCAGAATACCAATGAAGTCAAGAGTCATGCACGTTCTCCCATATATCCGAGATGTCCTCCCACGCAAGACAAAAAATGTTTTCCCCTGGCTACGGACCTCGTCCGAGATCTACCCGTCAAAGGGGATCTGTTCTGTCTCAATTACGCCAATCAGTCTATTGCAGGAACAGTGCATAATATCACCTTTAACCAGAACGATTCCTGTGATGTGTCAAATATCGATGGAATTGGACAATTCAAGTACCTTCTGCGGTTGCAGAGTTTGCACATTAGACTTTACAGATGGGTGCGTCCTTTGATGAGTCTTGATAAGAGAACTGTGCATCTTAGAAGAAAGGCTAGAAATTTTCCCTAAGTTTGATACATTACCTTGGAGTTGATGTTTCACATTTTTAACCCACATTAATGGAACTGATCGCTTTTGCCATTAAGGACCCTTCAAAGGATTGCCAGAAAAGTCTGCACCCAATCGGAGTCAGCAGCCTGAGTGGGGTACGTATGTTCTTCAGCGTCCTGCGTCGAAATGAACCGGGCCGGGCGATTCTGACGCTTAACGCCCTTGACGACGCCCTCGTTGCATGGCCCTACTGCCCCGCCGAGTGTCAGCCAAGTCTAGATATGCAACTTGACGATATGGATGTTGTTCAATACGGCTTGAACCTGATTTTGGAGGCCATTAGGAAGCGACTACCGTTGGTATGCCAGATGGACACAAAGTGAAATCCCCTAAGTTGCGATTAACTCGTGCTCATAATCTACCTCATGTCTGTCATTATCTCTGCACTCAGACACATTCTATCATTAGAAGGAGTATCAATATGTCTGAAATGTGAATCTGAGTTTCACTTTATGGTAGTTTAAAATTGTTCTCAACCTCATTGTAAACCCTGGACTGGGCGGCTGTACTTACAGTAGGTGGGCTAACTCATGAAATGTTAACTAAAATTCTGAAATGCGTTTTCGTCTCTAAAAGATTGATTATATAGGGTCGTATAACTCATCATCATGCAGAATAATTCTCTAATAATTCAGATGCCTCAGGATGCCCGCTCTCAAACAGACTTCTTTCCGACTGCATGCAAAAACTATAACTTGTAAAATATGACTGCTGAATTTGCATGCTTTCTTCTCATTGATTTTCGATGTCCTTAAAAATTCAATTATATTTCATGGGAAACATGCATAGAAATACTCATCGTTTTACCTATTCGGTAGAAAAGTATGTCTTCCAATTTTATACTCAAAGGAGGGGTATAAATTGGATTTAAAAAGGTTTGGGATTATCGGACTTTTTAATACCATGAAATGCCTTTTGTAAACCATCACGTCTCTGCAGTTACCAATGTGGCCTTTAAAGTTAACAATATGGCTCAAATCCACTGCTACATTCTATGAACCCCATATGGTCTCCTCTTAATACCGTTGAGAAATGTGTGGGTTTCCGTACGCGGAAAATATTCGGCTCGTAGTTTGAAAAGCCTGAATAGAAGTGTAACGGAAGGTCGGGTTCACAATTATTCGGGTATTGAAAAGGTTTTTTAAAACCGAATTAAACTCCTCCTCCGAGCATAAAACTGGAAGAAGACGTAATTTTCTACCGAATGAGCAAAAGAATGAATATTTTATGCCTCCTATTTATGGCCTACAATTGAATGTTTAGGGAAATCGAAAATCAACAAAAATGCTTGCTAATTCAGTAGTCATTTTTTGCAGGATATTATTTTTGCATGTAACCGAAAATAATTTTGTTCGAAAGTTGGCATCCTGAGATAACTGAATTAGTATAGAATTATGCTGTATGATGATTAGTTTTACAACCTTTCTCAATTAATCTTTTTGAAACGAAAACGCATTTATGAATTTCCGTTGACATTTCATGACTTAGCCCACCTACTGTACATGGTCTGATTCAGGTCAGTCAATCATGAACAATCAAGATGTTGTCATATGCCGAGAGGCATCATGTATACCGTCGTGGTAAAGGTTCTTTCGTGCATGTGAAAACCAGGTTTGGCAGAATCCCCGGTCGGATTTTTCGTTCCGTCTCTTTTATCTCAAGTAAACCAGAATTCAAGTGTTAGTAGAAGTATGCAAAGCCATAAGCAATCCTTCGTAGTTTTCGGCGGCGTAATTTTTATATACAGCGATTTGTCGTCATATCAGGCGCTCCTTAGCGGTTCTATTTCAAGTTGAATGAAGGTGATGGTCATGGTGATGGGGGTTGCGATGGCGTCAGCAGCGGCAGCGGCAGCAGCGGCGGCGGTCATTCTGGCTTGGGTGATGGTGGCAGTGATATATATTATGGATGAATTTAATTTGGGTAGTTCGTATATGGCAATGTTTATTAAGAAGCACGCTGACGATTTTCAACATTCCACGTCGGTTGTAAGAGTCGTCACTTGGAAGGTTAGCTATGGTGGTGGTGGTGGTGGTGGTGGTGGTGGTGGTGGTGGTGGTGGTGGTGGTGGTGGTGGTGGCGGCGGCGGCGGCGGCGGCGGCGGCGGCGGCGGCGGCGGCGGCGGCGGCGGCGGCGGCGGTTGTCGTGATGGTCGAAGTCGCGGTCATCGTACTTGTCGTCGTTGAACATGTAGGCGAAGAAGCGATGGATAGTGGACGTTTTTTCGTGTTGTTCACACGTTTTGATAATGAGGATTTGAGCGTATATCATCATCCGCCTTGTACATTGCGAGTTTCTTCTACTAAATGCCGAGACTCATCAGAGCGTCGATGGAGACGGATGACCCTCCTCTCTGATAGAAAATAGGATCAGTTTGAGGTCGTGACTTGTCCTCATTTATCGGTTGTAAGCTATTATTGTTACTCTAACGCGGTCGATAGCTGTAGATTGTCATATATGGATTAAATTACACATCTCTCTACTATCAAAAACTGGTGTGTGATCCGTTTTAAGTGGCAAATGATAATAAGTATCGCGCTGCTGGACCTCGCTGAGGGCGTACTTGTCAAAAAATAGGAGATGACATACACGAGGAGCTTATCTGAAGTTAGCGTGCGAAAGAAATGGACCCTCGACTAAGTTCTTTGCTCGTTTCCAAATATGTCCGATGATTGTTAAAGGTAATCAACGATTTTAGTAGGTAGAGACGGAATCTTGCTCGCGAAGTTTTGGGCTGACGGCAAACACGAGGGTATTGGTAGTAAAATGAATGCAATTATTAGCAGTGGTATGCTCTAGTGTAGTAGCAGCTCCCGGCAAAATTCTCTTTATGTTTACTGTATACATCAGTTTCTACCCTGTGGACATCTCCAGATTGGAAAACTGTTGGCCGAACCGACCGAGTGGTCGCGTCGTTTGTGGCTGTTCGAATCAAAAAGTCGCTGTGGCTAGGTTTTGTGCACCTGTAATATCCTGTTGTGATATTAATAAGTTTTAGCTCAATATTATTCGGCCACTGTCTCTCCAAAGACACAGCCCAACCTAGGCAAAAACTCATTTCCGTTAGTTGCTTATCCGTCATTGTTGCATTTAGAAACCCTGATGGCTTGGGTCGTACTAAGGCAGGAACTCGTGTATGCAAAAGAGGTCCGTGTTGTATCTGTTTCACGACCAACTGATACCGAGTCGATATTTGTGAAAGTAAGTCTCCGGACCAAAATAAACGTGATTCTGGGTCCACGCTGCTCCTGTTCAAAGCTTTACAGAAGTTCAAGCGATGTTGACTGGCAGCCGTGCTTTCTTCTTGTCCCCCTTCATTTGTGGATGTGAGTGGATAGCACTTCCTTATTATTGGGTTCGTCAGGATTTCTTCTTTGAAAGATGTTTCTTTAATAGGCATGCAGATATACATGTCGGAGAATCCCATCAGCGGCCTTACAGAGATGTAATGTTTTAAAAGTATAATCGGTCATATCTTCATTTCCTTGATGTTTCCGAACTGAATAGGCTCCCTGAAATGTCAAATGTCCCCTCTTCTGTATATATATGTACGTGTGTTGGGCTTGTAGAAGGTGGGTTGTCTCTAAGACGAAATCCGGCCCTTCTGGCCGGTATCTACTAGGCATTTCTCTGTTCGAAACGATGCCCTTCTAGAAAGATGACTATCTGACTCCGCTTTAATGCCGCCCGATTAACTCTAGCTTAGGTTTTTATCTCGTCCAGAGACCACTGACAAGTTACAGTCACATTTTATCCAAGGAAGTATCTGGGTGTGATACGATTATGTGGCCGCACCTGATGGACACATTACTGTTGACCTGCTTAATTATTTGGAGTTGGTGTGATTACGTTGGCATGGTGTTGCTGCGCGTTGCAGTGTGTGTTCTGTTGGCGGCCTCGTTTCCTTTTTGCCGTATCTACCTTTTTTGGTCCAATGCCGACGGTCCTTTTTAACTTTAGGCCTGTCACCCCTCCCCCTTCTAAATTTCGCGTTTGATGTTTCAGAGTTAGGGTTTACAGCTGCAGTCAAGGATAAGGGTCAGGGTTAAAGGATTAGGGTTAGGGTTAAAGGTTAGGGCTTGTGGTTAGGGTTAGGGGTTAGGGAATTAGGGTTGAGGGTTAGATAATTAAGGTTGAGGGTTGGCAGTTAGAGATGGGGCTGGGTATTAGGGTAGGGCGTTAGTGTAACTATTTCTCAACCACTTAAGGAACAATCGCGCATCCCAAATACCTCTTTCTTTGCCTATAATTGCTTGACCTCGTCGTCTGTGCGCTTCGCGGCCGCGCCTTTAAAAACCTCTGAGAGTCAGGCTGCAATGGCTCCTTTTTTATGTGGCCTTTATGACATTCCCACCACAGTGTGGGATCCGAGCCAGGCGTCGGCGGCACGCCCAGGTGCGGCCTCGGTCGTGCCAGCCTCCAAATCTCTATTGTGTTGGTTAAAATCCTGGTCATTTGTTGTGTGGACCAGGGGATGTGGTGGAACGCCAAGGTGAGGATCCCTCCGAGCCATCCACCTGCGGCCTCCCTCGTCTCCGGTCTTCTTGACTCTGTCTTGACACCGGGCTCGGCGAGGGAGGAGGAGAGAGTGTAGGTATATGTTATGCAAGTCTACCGGCACTATAAACCCCTGCGTAAGTCACCGTCCCTGCTCCCATTGCTGCTGCAACTGGGGGGCACACGGTGGACATCATCGAAACCGATGGTCCAACTGTCATTACTACCGGTCCCGTATCACAGATGACAGGCGTTCGTTTGTATCACGACCAAATCTGACCGTCTAAACGATTCCTTTTTTGGACAGACATGACTGCGCGCGTAAAACGACAGTCGCTGATTATCTTCATATCAGTCGACACTTAAGATCGGGCTGGTGTTATGCGACCGTAACGTTAACACACAAAAGTTGTTAAATTAGAACAGCAGATGCTCAGCGAATGATCTCCAGACGACGACCCATGTCAATCCAAAATACTTAAAACACAACGATCCAGATTCATGCACAGACCCACCTCAGTGTCCATGAGATGTATCGATACGGGCCCATCCGTAATATTTCGAGGATACGGTCGCAGTTCATTTATGCAAATACAAAATAGATCAGCTATTCGTGACATTAACAAGAGGACTATTCTTCTCGATGTGATCGAGAAAATCCTCGTCCGAGTGCTATTAAACCTCCTCAATCTATAATTGAGCTTCTTTCCGACAGTCCGCACTGCTTCCGGAGAAACCGCGGAACCCTTAATGTGGTCTTTGAATGCCACCAATTGCAGGGAAACCGCCAATAAGTGGGGAGGAGCTTCGAATACACCTTAATTAACCTAAAATATTACGTGCGTAATTAATTTAACTCACGCACATAATTTATTACGTAGTATGCAATTGCATGCAGTTTATCTGTTTTCCTTACGATGTCTTCCGATGAAGACAGGGACAAATCCACGCCGGTGGAGACTATAGTCCCCTGAGGAACCTTATTAAATGTGTTGTAATTATAATTACAACAATGAGTACACTCATTGCAAAATTATGTATCCTTTGAGCAGTACTTCGGCATGTGGCTCGTCAGCCGTAACGATCTCGGGCCCCGAAGAACCATTCAATCGCTTTTTGTTGTATTATTTCTGAATGGCACCCACTGTTCTGCTCACTATTGCGTATGGCATCTATAAGTGTGAAAAAAAACGTAATAAACCGGCCATTAAGAACGGTGAACAAGGGACTGCCCAAGATAAACCGTTTTTCAGTAGAGTTTGTACAGCAGAAGCTAAGGAACAGGGGAGGTCCCAGCATGGCTATCAAGAGATGCCTAGTTAACTCCTTTTCATTTCTTCCTCCGACGGAAGACAGATGTTTTACCTATAAGCCATAAAGGGTATCTTCGCTTGTGTACATACCGCTTCCTGTGCGATATCACCTTCTGAACTTATTTTGATAACGAAGTCATTGCACGCATCAGGGGGTTCGGAGGGGCACCTGAAGGACTGACGAGTTCTCTTGCGAAACGAAGCTAATAGGTTGCAAATCCCTTCTGTTGTCCGTAAGCATGGTCTTCAGATCATGCATATCGTTCTTGAATAGGAATACTTGCTCTAATACGTAGTCCACCTTTTTCCTAAAGGATATAAAAAGTGTTATGAATTGTTTTATCCGATGCATGACATTTCCCGTTGCAAATACTGGTACCAGTGCCTTGCTGACGGAGGCGGGTTATCGTCCGTCGGCAGCCTAAAGTGCCAATGTAATAAAGTCTAGTTACTGAAAAGCGCTCTCCTCTGTGTGTCAAGGCTGGGAAGTAACCGGTGAGGGACTCCTCATAAGTCCGTTTCTTGGAATGGAGATCGTTGTAGTCAATGATGCTTACCGGACTACAGGTGGAGGTATCAGCCATAGAGCTAACGGACTTTACGGCTGCCTTCGTATGTCATTTAGGTCGTCGTCCTTGTCGAAGTCGGACGGCAGTCTTCGGGGAGATCTGTACATAAGTAATCAACGTATAGACCACGTACTTACTCCTTACGCCTCTTCCTAAAGTAACAAGCACCGAGGACAAAAAATTGTCGCTTAGTTCTGCCTTTTGGGCGTACCCCCGCGACTTGACAAGAGTCAATCTCTCTATCAAAACTTTGGCTTCGTAAAGTTTTGTGCCATCGGGGGATTGCTCCGCCACCAGATAGGATGTATGGGGGAGCGAAGGGTCTTCTGTGGCGGCGCAGTACGCCGTCTTCGTGCGCTAATTCCACATGTGAAAGGTGCTTCGGTGAAGTCCCCAGTAGTTTCGGTCCATATTTGCTTCGAATTACCATGCAAATAGCATAAACAAATATTATGCCAGCACAGTTAAAGGCTGTGCCAGTCCCATTAAATAGTCTAAGTTGACTTTTGGAGACTTTAACGAAACTTTTACCCATAAAAATGACATATTCCATCAAATAGAAGCATGGAAATAAGAAATGGGTGACGTACTGCAGTCTCACAGACGTGGATATCGAAGAACAACTGAACGGCAATATCGGTCTGGCGTGCCAACAGCTGAGCCATCAGTATATTAGCGTCGTCAATATAGCTGCATGTAAGGTATATGTGACACAGTTTAACAGAGTCAATATTTAACTTAGAGAAGAATGACTTTCTGTCGACTTTAATCGCCTGGAAATGTAAAGAGCACGCAGCACATACTTAAATATAAGCATACAAAATTTGCGAGATATAATGCGCAGCGACTTCAGTATAAAGGGCAAAATTTCATCAAATCTTTATGGGCCTAGCCCGGACATGCCCCGTGTATTGCCTGGACCATGTGCTGGCAGGGGTGTCACGACCAGTAAAAAGCCTTTTAACATATTTTATTGCTAGATTCAGGTAGTTTTGTCTTTTTTTCTTCTAACCATCTTTGATGCAAATCGCTGCTGCGAACTCTATAAGCCTGCATTGAGCTTTTCTTATAAACTTTTACTGCTGCTTTTTTCCACCGCCTGAAATGCGCCACTTGATAATTACTCCCTAATCGAGGCCTCAGCATACCACATCCAAACGGTTAATTTTGATTCGGACAAATGAGTTCTTTGCCCAAAGAACACCACGGACTACACCGAACTATTGGAGACGCCGACCGGGGCCTCAGACTTCTAGGATATAATTAAAGTGACCTTATTTAATTTGTTGTTCCCATCGTTTTCGGGCGACTTTCTAAGACTTCTGCCTTAAATTATGATTGTACGCTCATTAACATAGTGGATACTATTATATCGGGCTTCCCACCAACTGAGAAAGAAACATCGGATTACGTGTCGTTTTAACTCCCCAATGGTGCCCGTCGCTCGGTAAACGGCGTCCTTTCCTCAGCACAAACTTTTGAATCATGGTGAAGGCAAGCGAACACATGCTCTTCAAGTGCACTTCTGCTATGAATAAACGATCAGCAAATGAATCTATTGAGAGCTACCTCAGACGCATGACACATCTCTATCTAGATAACAAAGAAATTGATGATATGGTGCGATACCCAGCGGTTGCATAGTTTACATTGACTATTAAAGGGTGATGTTCTGAAACTGTGCCCCGAACTACAAGTCCTTTACCTTTATGACAACAAAATGAACCACATACCTATCTTTCCCAACAACACTAACTTGACACATATTTATCTGCAGAACAACGAAATTAGGCGAATCTCGCACCTGCAGGACCTTAAGAACCTGCAGAAACTGTAATAAGGCGCTCTGTATTAAACTATATCAGTTTTCTTTCAGGGAATAAAATTTTAGTTCTTGAGGGTCTGGACAGCCTCGAAAAGTTAACCGAACTCAAGATGGATTCTCAGCGTCTTCCGCCTGGCGAAAGTCTTATTGTCGATGACCAGAGCCTGAAAGCGTGTAGTGTAACCGCATTTCCTACTCTTATTTTGCCTTTATAAAGAAATCTTTGAAATTTCTAGACCTCTCTAGAACAAAGCTGTCCACCCTAAATGGTCTTGATTGTCTGGAGGGATTGGAATATCTGTCCCTTTCTCAAAACGAAATATCGCAGCCCAATGAATTACTTCCAGTCCTATCCGTCTTACGAAACTTGAAAAAACTTGACCTAGCCGGGAATCCTGTTCTAAGTGTTCCAAGAATACGCGAAGCAATAATTTTCCACGCCAAGAGCCTCGGTAAGTATCTAAGCCCATAATCGGGACACCTCGTCATCACTGTGCGCAATAACGTCGAAAATGTCATATCTGAGTATTAAACTTTTCAGAAAAAGCGATCGACATCAGACCTCCTTGATCTTTCATCTTCACTGTATTCTTGAAATCCAACCAGGGTCCTTAAATTATTGGTCATCCCCGTCAAACCAACCAATGCTAGCGGACTGACACAAATTCTTCCCAATATGTATAACTTCAGTATATGACTTGCCGAACTGCCCGCATAATTCAATAGTGTTCCTTTTAACTGAATAGGACTTCATTTATTATTGTAGAATTTTTGGATGGGAAGCCGATATCGACACCAGGAAGGCAATTTATCGAGAACTGGTGCGCTCACAAAATCGCTCATGGAGAGAATCTAAGTAAGTTAAAACAATGTACGCCCCTAAGAACGACACATCTGCGTGTAGATAAACTATAGTGACTGGTCGCAATAAAGCAGACATTCGAGCAAGAATAAGAAATTCAGGGCTGATTATACATCCTGCACCGAAGGCGCAGTGCGAGATAGGCAAAACTACAGGATAGCGGAATACACGGAATGTCACACAGGGGACCCCAGTTAGGGAATGAACGATTATAAACCTCTCTAGCACCAGGTACTCGAACACAGACCATTGGCCTCCCGCCGCAATACCTGCATCCTAACATGCGAGAACTAAGCTGACCTTCCAGCAGGAACAGACTTAATTATTCAGGGCTCGGTGAACTGGAATTACAATAAAGATGACTACGCAGCTACTGCAAAGCATGGGACTGAAGAGGCTAACCAAAAGACGTCATTGCCCATGTCTCATCTTCCATAAAATTATTTGGAAAAGGTGTAGTCGCATACCCGGCCATAAAGTTGCCCATGCGCCGTCCGAGGGTCAACAGGCCTTAAGAAAGTAGTAGCAGTCAAATTATTGGAAGTGCGCAGCTTAATTACTATTCCATCTTCGCGGCGCCAGACATCCTGTGAGACACACCTCCTATAGCCGATAGTTGTAGCTAAAGTCCTACATATAAACTTTAAACTGGCCTTATTCAACACTAAGGCGCTTCTTTCTCTACTCAGGTATACTGAAGCCGAACGGCACGACCGTCAGTTGAACGACCTGAGGAAATGTAGGTGAATGGAATCGCAGCTCGCTTCCTAAATGTACAAATTACATAACAATGTATAACGAAGCCATTTGAACGCATTCTTATTTTTCTTTGTAAAAGATTGGCGCGCTTAGGAGGCAAGAACTGTCCAAATTTGTAATGGCCCTCGACAGCGCAGGTTTTGCCGGTCCTACGATGCAAAACTCTAAAAGAAACACGAGATACTTTCCCCAAAAATCGTGTATTTGACTCGAAATTTATACTGTTGCATCTGCAGACATCAAGGTGCATTGCATCCGGCACTTAACTTTAGCCATACTTGACCGTTCCTGGTCAGTTCAACAGCTGGGCTTCAGTGATGGATTGCGGTGGAGACGGAAATAAGGGCATATTAGCTGAACTCGAGTTGATGCTGCAGTTTTATGTCGGAACGGCAAAGATTGCTTTGATTAATCATTGGCAGAGGCGGGCATATCCACTTCCGGTCGACCGGCTATTATCATGGACAAAAAATCGTTCGTATGCTAAGTCTTTCTCAATGGCTTGCTACTCATCACTACGTGACAGCCTAGATAGGCTCTGGCCCGGGGCTCCAAGGTAAAACGGAATTGCTTATTAACGTCCTGCAATCATATGGATCGAGGGATATCGCTCTTAAGCGAGGGTAGTGCAGGTTTTATCTATGCACTTATTTCGAGGCCAAACGCATGCCCCGATGGGAATCGACTTCAAGAAACGGTTTGACAACACACCGTCAATCTCCTTAATTTTACCTGCGCTCCGGATGCTCGAATAGCACGGCTAGAGTGAATGCTGTCGAGTTGGCGGCGAATTTTGGGTAAAATGAGAAGAAAAATCAATTCGCCGGCAAGCAGACTTTATTGATGAGGGCAGAAATGAGCTGCTTCGTTTGGGCTGGAGGTAAAAAAGGTCGAAAGCTCGGTTTAGGTTATGCTGGGCACTTAGAATATGGTAGGGGCTGACCATTGTCATCGTAGAAAAACTTTCTGAAAACGAGCGCTTCCGCAGCCATCTCCTCGGGAGAACGGTACTTTCGGTTGGCGACCTTGTCATGGGCTTGAAGCTAAATTAAAAATCCAAAGGAAGGGCACTTACCGTCATGATCATCAGTATAAATGTAGGCACATTAATCTTTTCAGCATAAATAGAAGGCACCGATAACATTGCATAATACCAATGACAAGGAAAGTCCAAAATATCGATATCGTGACCGGAGATCGTCAACTCCTAAACATGTTAGCTTTAGCTATGCTAGATGATTGTACCCAGCTGAAGGTGTGTTTCAAATAGACTCACTAGCTTCATGAGGACTTAAGGGCACATGTCCGCAATAACAAAGAAGTAGGCGGAGTGCAAAAACATGCGGATTTGTGTATAAGGGATGAAGATGGATTTTAAAGATGCAACTTTTGTTACGTCAGAGTGCAAGTGTGGATAGAGAAAACATAGATGAAGGACATTTTATCCCAAAATTGGAGACCAGTCGGAAATCTGCCGCTGTAACACGTTATGGTGAGCCCCAACATTTGTTTACTGGATTGAAATATACTTTAGATGATGCTATTTTGTGCACAGGGAAACTACTCACATAGTGCAGTAACAGACACTATGGATCATTAATATTATCACTGTCAGGAGAGAGAGAGAGAGAGAGAGAGAGAGAGAGAAGGAGGAGGAGGAGGAGAAGGAGGAGGAGGAGGGATGGGCGGTGCTCGAAGACCTTTTTGAGCAAACTGCGTCGTACGCTCAGTTGTTAAGTGAATTTTGGATGGACTTGTAAAAATGCCTCTTGAACTAAAAGCCAACAATAACTTTCAGGAGTTATCCGTTCATGATCCCAAATGGGTAACAATAAAAAGTGGCACTCCACCGCCTGTGAGATCCGGAGAACGGATTACATGGGGAGATGATCGGAGCGCATACGTACGACACAACGGTCAACTTACGAAGTTGCGCTGACTGAACTTGTCAATCTTTCCACTGACATGTTTTGCTATGACTTATTTATCAATTTCAAAATTGAGTGCGATGGTAATTTGTAGGTTAAAAAATCCAATTTTGTCAGGTTTGCCGGGCGAATCTACTTCCGTAGTCTTTTATTGCAACTGCGACATTGTAAGACACCTCCACTTGGCGTAATTTTCAAGTGCACACATGCATGACGGCAAAGTTTGCTCGTAGTTTAAAAAAATTGTAAAATGACCAGGGAACTCACAGCATCATAGATGTCATCATTTCGGCCGAAATCTCCTGCTTTGCGAGGAAGCACGTGAATATGGACATGCTAAAAGGAGAAATGTTGACTTGGATCGCGTTTTACCATTGAAGTCAGGAAACTTAAAAACTTAACCAAAATACGTAGGCCACAAGATGAGCAAGCGTTCGTTGAAAACGCCACCTGGCAAATAGATTGACAGCCGAACCGAAAGTTCCTTGTGGTCAGTAAATCACAGCCCGGCAAGACAATTCGTCCAAATTTCGTAATACGAGTCAGTCCTGGATGATGCAAGAACAAATTTCGACTTTCAGCAAGCAACTAACATATCCTTGACCTCGTTTACACACTTGTGGATGAGAAGTGGGTCAAAAAACGGAAGTACCAACATTACAGGTGTGATAGAAGGCAATTAACGGTAAGCCTCGTCAAATGTCCGCACTGCATTAGATAGCAACAGTTCACGATGGTGTAGTACTATGGCGATGCCAGTTCGACGGCCACGAACGAGGATGCCCACCGGGTGCTCCATACAGTAGGTGCAGGACGGTGGCTAGCGCAGGGTAGACTTGCACAACATCCACCGCACTCTCGCTTCCCTCACCTGCCTTGCTCCGAGGGCAAGAAAGTGTTAAGATGACTAGACGTGGTCTCGGACGCAGTGGCTGACAGAGCCGAACAGGCAGTCGACGTGTGCCCACACACACGACCAGGTCCCCACTGCATGTGCCTGCATGTGCGTCTCGAAGTTTACATGCATAAACGTCCTACGATGGCCTCATTGAGGAGTCATTGTAGCTTGACTCCCGGTCCTTCAATCAGTCACTTCAACATACTCACGTGAGGACAGAGACATCGCATCAGCTGGTAACCTTATAAGTCACGGCTCTTAGCGCGTCGAGACAGATTCGAGGGCACCGGTTTTGTAAGGAGTGGGCTGGTATGTCGTGGGGATGGATCCCCCAGTGTCGATCTCACTCCCCCTCACCTCGCCCATGCGTCGGCCAGATCGACGGCCGCGAACGATGATGCCCACCGTCTGCCCCATAGAGTAGGTGCGGGACGGTGTCTCGCGCATGAAATAGTATACTGTGGGGCAGGATTTGCAGCACCTATCACATTTTTCTCCCTCGCCCGTCTGGTTCTGGTGATTAAACAACACGTCTACGCGTACCACACGTGGTCCGGTACCACAGAGGGTTACAGACTTCTACAATCGGCGGCTCGGAGCTCACATGCGTTGGAGTGCCACAAAGGCAACACTGGCACTAAGCCTGACCCTCTGATATGAGAAGGACTGGGCTAGCCCGTTACTTGGCTTCCTTCCAAGTCGCGATTTTCGATGCGTCGTGAAATATTCAGGCATGTCCGATTTATTCTAATAAGGAATGAGCTGGCGTGCCGTGGGGATTGATTCTTCAATTCCGGCCTCAGTCTCCCCTCCTAGTCCACTGCCCGAGTCTGCCTCGTGCTCTCTCTGGTGCTGAGATTGGACATAATGAGTAGCCTTACGCCTAGACGTACCAGCACACTCCCCCCGTACGGCAGGCTTTGCGCAACCGGATGAACGCGTGGCACCAGCCAATCTGACCCCGCTTTGTTTCAGCGCATCTACGTCGACTCTGCGAGAATCGATTGGGGCAAGACAAACAGCAGACGTCGAAAACCAACACCATGCTGAGGGCGCACATGTGCAGTCAAAAAATAACCGAAAATCTTACCGGAACCGACTGACCGGCATTCTTTCCGTCCTGAATGGAGATTGTCAAGCTGTCTGCCTGGAAGTGCTCCAGTAGTTTCTCTGACACACGCTTAACGGTCATATACATATCACAGATGGTTCCATCCGGAAGAGAGTTGAATCGTTCCACGACCGCAATTGGGGTAACGAGCACATCTAACTAGGAGTCAGGGAAATCTACGACTACGTCACAAAAAATTTGCAACACTGTCAACAATAAACATGGCCGTGATGATGGTGATGATGATGATGGTGGTGGTGGTGGTGGTGGTGGTGGTGGTGGTGGTGGTGGT